TAGGATTGCTGAACATATGCACTGACCAGTGGTGACGTCTGGATCAGATGCTCCGGACGGCAACAACGTATCAATTACCTACAAATTAAAAGAAAAAAAGTAAAAGCGGATCGTAACTGGAACACTCTGCAGAGTTGCTCAAGTCCAAAAATAGATTAGTTTAAAATGGTGAGGGAGTAGCCAGAGAACGAGCACGGCAAACTTAGATGAATGAACAACCTCTTTTAGTCTACGCGTCAGCCAATTCTACATTTGTGTGAGCATTTGAGACTCCGATGGTCCCAACTCTCCAAGCTCAAAATTTTTCACAAAAAGGTCTCCTTGAAAAATCTGTCCAAAAATAACCTTCGTTTTTCCAAATTCGTTGTCGTGAAGGAAGCACAAGAAACAGTAAAAGACCGCGCAACGTAGTTTGAAAGGCTGTTTGTCCGTGTTCAGTGATAACAAAAGGACAATTAGAGCAGGCCTGTAACACAAATGCATATCTTTGGAGTGCTGCAATCAGTACGCAAAATCAAGTTATGCAACTGCGGTCGCATAACTATATGAACAACCGAAGTTGATTCCAAAAACAAAAGCTGCTTAAAGTTGACTGCAGCGAGCTCCTGACGGTTACTAGACAACTCTGGGCCTTGCACATTTGTCCAATTAAATAATCTAACTTGTAACAGTGTGATGTGAAGTGCTACCATCTGACCTGTTTCCAATTTCCGTTGCGATGGTGCGTGTCGAGAAATACTCTTGATTTGGATAATTTCCACAGATAACCTCAGCTATGGCAACAATTGTTTCGGTGAGCACCTCCACTGCCGCCCCAACCTCGGAGAGCAAAATATTGCACAGATTTTTTAACACTCCTGAACAACAAAGTAATACTCAAATAATGCAGAAAAGACCGGCACAGATCCTGTCGAGAAAAAAGGCGGAACTTCGAAAATGAACAGATTTATCCAAAAATTAGCACAAAAATGATTCATTATACTAAGAACATCAAAACTGCTCAGACAATCAGCGCAGATTGCCCATGTTTCTCATGCTTCTGCTGTTACGCCACTGTTACGTCCTTGAGCCCTGGGCTGAATACCTTAAGTCAGTACCTACCGTCCGTCCGATGTGTATGCACCACCACATCGGAGCCTGTCTGACTGGTTGCTTATTTCTAGTGATGTCGCTCACTACTAATTCACCAGCTAATTCATCAGCAACATGCCCTTGCCCAGCGAGGTTTGTTCACGTGGTCACAATGATATACCATAGCCTGCTCATCTGACGAAGCTCACAGAGAGAGCTTGACGCTCTTTTCATCAGAGTCAGTGCTTGTTCTTCCGTCACTACCCACATAGGTCACTGCCCATCTTAGTGAAAAAGAGCATACAATTCTTCCGGATCGACACTTTCTGAACATGTTAACAACGCAATGAGAGTTGCGTTAACCAAAAGCCATTTTACTTGTAATCTCCGGCTGCCGCTAAGAAAGACGTAGCTGTTCACTTATTCGGACAAAACACCATCCATCTCGGATTTAGCAGCGGTCATACTGGTGCCTCGCTTGGCACTCATTTAATTTTTCAAGCCCACTTTTCTTGGTGTTTTGGACTCCAACAGCACCTCATCTCATTTATCTTACGAGGACTGTTCGCAGTAATAATTATGTCACTCATGAAGCGCAGGTAATTTAGCTGCACACCTTTGATCTCTTGCCCAACTTTTTAATCATGGCATATCATTCCGGCCTGGCCGATGCTGTCTCAAGCATACCGAAAAGTGTTATGCTTGTTGAACAGCATATCTTCGCCTCCTTACCAATCCACATAGTTATCATCAATCCCTCCATCTACAATAGCTCACAGTATTAACAGTGATAAGTCTGAGAATCAGTGCATGGCTGGCGACCATCTTCACAAAACTCCGGCTTCCTAACCCCTCTCTCTGTGGAATTAGGCAATACCAACGCTCTGCAATTTAAACCGCCGCGTA